GCTTTCTTTGTGCTTCAGTAGGACCTTTAGGCTTACCTGTGGCTTGCCCGTCCAGCAAGGGAGCGGGGAGCAGACAGTGGCTGAGCTACAAAARTACTTTGTGATACTGGGAGGCTGTATGGAGGCTTGAAGTGTAGTCAGGCTTGTTCCCCTCTGGCAAAAACTAAATGTGCTTCCTAGTTTGGAAGGAGGCAGAAAAAAAAAAGGTGTATTGTGGTTCAAAATGAAACCATGGTCATCGGCAACCAGACCATTAAATAGAACTTGAGTGTGGTGAGGCAAACTGTTACTTTATTGTGGGATCAAAGGCTGGTGTGGGAACCCAGCGCTGCTGGTGATGGGGAGCTGCTGGGAAGGGACGCAGAGTGCCCTGGAGTCAGGGCCCTGGGTCAGGGCTCCCCGCTGGCACGGGCTGTGCTGGGGTGGTTTGGAAACACACGGGTGCCCTTGGGACAGATAGGAGCCCTCTGAGCTGCCTTTCCCACAAGGAAGCATTTTCTAAGGAAGAAACTGATTCCTGGAATGAGTCTTCATTGAGAGGTTGGGTCCTTGATTGCTCACCTTCTATGTGCAGACTCTGTTGGAGTTTTGCCCGTGTGTGGGCTTCAAGATAGAGCATCTGTCTCCTGTTATTGGAAAACCAGTGAACTCTAGCTCTGACCTTCTAGTAGGAGGAAAAAAAAAGAAAAAGATCTCATGCAATTCATGCTTGACAGGAGCTCTTTCATACTGAAGTATTTCTACAGAAAGAGCAGCCTGTGCCAGGTTTGTGCACATGTCCATATTCCCTCTGCTCTCTGGCACCTTGAACACTGTGCACTGCAGCCTGCCCTTGTGCCCAGGGAGAGGGGGCTCCTGGGGCCACCGAATTGTGCCTTTTTATTTCCTAATTTGCAGCTTCTCCTTGCAACACTCCTCCTGCCATTTCAGTGCCAGGAAGGACTTAACCTTTAAACTCAGTCAAGTGTGATTCAGCATTTATTTAACACGGTGGAGCATAAAACCTGATTCTGCTGACTTTTAGAGGCACAACAGTGGTAGTTGTTCCTGTTCTGAGGCAGGTCTTGGTTTTATTTGTTTTACAGGTCAGCACGACAGGCCATATCCATGGCTGATACCTATGAAAAGGAATGCCCATCTCTACCAGAAAAGCCCTAAACCCAAATCCAATGTTAGAGGTTTAACTATAGTCACAGAACATACCATGGCCATACCTTTTCAGTCAAAAATGTATTTTGCATATACTTTGAGCTCTAGTGTTTTTATAAACAAGATGTTATGATATAAGAATGGTGTTAATCCACTTGAATTTCTTGTTAATCTGTTTATATAGGCACTGTAYCATGGTTGCATTAACATAGGCTGTTTCCTGAAAAAAGTCAAAGCTGGTTTTAGTTAACAATTTATATTGATAACAGCCAGAGAAGGGCATGTCTGCCCTTCAAGATCATCGAGAAATACGTTCAGAAAGGGAAGGGGATCAGCTTGGCAGCCTTCGGAGCTGTCACAGTGCCCGCTCCGTGCAGCTCTTGACATTTCTAAGGCAGCAAGGTCATCTTAAAGACACAACTGTTCCCTGTTCCCTGGCATTGTTTATGTTAATATCCTGAGAATGACTTGCATATTTGAACCGTATGATGGGTTAATCATTAATTAGGATCTTACAAAACTGAAATCAGAAACCAGCAATCTAGGAAAGCAATAAATTCTCTTATAATGTGTCTGCTTAGCAAAAGCAATCCAATGCAGTGTAGATTCATTTTAATCTTGGATAACTCGGATAAAGAGGAAAATTCCATAGGGGCACCAGAGACATATTGCAGTGTAGCACAATCTTTTGTCTCAATAATCAAATGTTTGATTTTTGAGGAGTCTATGAACACYTGTGAAGAGCCATGGTTTGAGGTTTTTCTAATCCAAAGTGAATGTAGGTGAAYCTGTAGTGAGTGGGAACATTGGCAACAAGGGGTAGAGAAGGCATCTCTTGTGTGACTTGAAGATTTATGTGAGAATTCCTAATGAGAAGTCCTAATGTGGCTATTTCTCACTGAAACCTGCTTTCAGCATCATGTTGGTTATCCATTCCCTGGGCAAGACAGATTGATAGGAAGTGGTTCTTAGATCASATGTGTAAAGAAACAAGCAAAATCAGGGCACTTCTATCATCTTCCTCCCCATATTACAAAGAATTAAAWAAATATATATTTTCAAAAGAAGATTAGGGAAAACTCTCATGATTAGTATCCTTCAGGAGGCTCAAGATATGTTAAGTACAAATAAGTTGCCCTTACTATAGAGTGAAATACTAGCAGATACCTTGCTTTCCCATGAGGTGTATAGATGACGATGTAGTTGCGTTCTGGCCTTCTCTTTTGATTACTCAGTAGAGCTAGCCTCTGTCTTAGCAGCAAAGACCTCTCACTTCTTTTTGTTCTACCTCAGGAGTTTAATTCTGCTCCCTCACACTGCTTTTCTTCCAAGACTTGGTATTTCCAGCAATTTTTCTTCCTTATACTGAGGAAACAAKCAGGGATTCTGCAGGGCTGCACATATTGCCAGCGGGTACAGTTCAGCCTTCTGGCCATAAAAGGGCTGCTGTTGAAAGCTGAACCATGCAGGGATGAAGGCAACGTGCCCTTTCCCCTCCACGGGGCACTTCAGTGCCAGCCTGCACCAGGGACGTGCAACCAAGTGCATGGGGTGGATGGAAAGCATGGAGAGACACCAACCCCTGCTCTTCCACCCACATGTAAGCAGAGCTGCTGAACTGCACGGGAGAAGAAATTTCGGCTGATCCTGGRCCTGCTGGGAGAAGCTCCCTGTCCAAGGACTGTGGGGCTCCCTTGGGAAGGGACGTCCTTCTCCCGTGGTGTCCCAGCTCTTGGGGAAGCAGCGAGCTGCAATGAAATGGCAGTCTCCGTTTTCAAAGAATGCTTTATTCACTACATCCTAGAAACGTACCGTAAATGGAGCAAGAACTAAAGAAACTCAGAGGCTTCCAACAGTACAGGAAACAGATATAATAAAACACGTAAAATATCAGCTCTTTTGAGAATAAGGCACACTAGTTTTTTTTATATATATATATATATACTTTTTTTTCTTTGTATAGTTTGTTCTTAACCTACAGCTGTTCACATTTCAAGTTATCAGACTTACCTCAGTAGTAGTGTACATGAAATGGTTCAGAGGGGAGCGCGAGGGGCAGAGGCGGGCGGGCGCCCGGGGGCTGCAGGGCGCGAGGGGCCGGGACACCCTGTCCTGCGGCAGGGCGTCCTTTCCCCCCGGCCCTGATGAAAGCGACGGGTAGGGCATGCGGTGAGGGGCAGCAGCGGGGCGCTGGTGTGGGGCTGGGGCAGCAGCAACCCCGGTGCTGGTGTGGGGCTAGGGCGGCCGCGACGCCGGCGCTGCCGCCTCCTTCGCTGCCCCGCGAGGTCTGTGCGGAGCCGCCGGCGGTTCTGGGGCTTCGCCGGGGTCTTGCCCACGCCGCTGTCTCTCGCCCTAAAACCAGACTTGGGTCTAGGTGTGTTTCCAGCAGGGCTCCTGCACYGGCGCACGGAGGGGCAGAGTCCGACTTAATGGTTAACGTCCCGGCGGCACTTTCGATAACCGTTCGATAGGTTCACACAGAGCGCGGCTGCGAGAGGAAAAGCACCTAAAATACAAATGCTCCGTTTTGAGGCAAGAAAGGGACGTATCGAAAGGCCACTTAGTACTGAGTTGGACATGATCTGGAAGTGGTTCCGTGGGCAAAATACACCTTTACATGAAACCTCTTCAGTGGGTATTTATACCATAAGAAGGAAACTGTTTACTCACTCCCTGCTTCACATCTCATTTCACTGGAGCTGTGTTTGCAGAGCTGATGTACTTCATAAGATGGGCAAGATATTCCTTTAACATTTTACTATACTTTACATTCACTGCACTACTAAATAAAAGCCTTTAAACAGGCCACAAAACACTGCAATAATATAGTTACTTCTTAATAAAACAAACTTTTTTTTTATAACATTGAAATAAAATGTTTTTTTTTTTATGTTTTGTGGCAAACCACATACCATGTAAATCTGCAACATAAAAGGACTTTAAAAATGTATATTAAAAGATATTTACAAGCTCTATTTCTTAAAATCATGGGATCTAATGGCTCCCCTCCCTGCTGTGCATGCACAACCCCAGTCAAGGCCAACTGGAGTCAAGTGTGGAAGGGAGGCTGGGAGGGAGCCTAGCCCGGGTTTATTAATTCCAGTATCACTAAAACACCCCTACTACCTCAGAAATTTGTCACGGAACATGATGAAGCTATAGGTAAATAGCGCTGTGCTTCCTGTTGGCAAGAGCACGCTGGGTCCTGCCTACGACAGCGTACATTCGCAGTCACTACAACATACACTTCAAAGCATAAAATAAAGAGCATTTAAAAACAGCCTAGGTTTTATACTGGATGAAGATCGAAGTCAAGACACCTTACAGGAAATACCAGATGCTCATTTCTGCATGTGCTCCAAGGCTGAACTACTAGTAGCTTCAATAAATAGAAAATCCAGTTGTTAAGGAAAACTCAGAACCTTTCCTTTCCTTAGTAGGAAGCCTGCTGACCACACCAGCAAGAGGTTTGTGTGATGAGGCTTTTTCTTCTTCCTAAAAAGCAACATTTGTTATTTTTTATCCCAAATAATAACAAAGAGATTGTATTAATGCCAGCACAAAAATGCAGAGGTCTTGCACGTTTCAAATTGCACTTTCCAGTATAACTTTTAAATAAGATACTTGTTGTTTTTTTTCTTTAAAAAACATCTAAGGTATGTATTCTTTAAATATTGAATATATTCTTCAAAATAAATTGTTTAAACTTTTCCTAGCTGCTCAAGTGGGCTTTTTAATATATAGCTGATATATTATTAAAGGCACTACAAAATAGACATCTCTGGAGTGCAGAAGTTACTAAAAAATAACCTTCATACCACAAATATATTGAAAATATAACTGCTAAAAAAAAAAAGACCACATGCAATCCCACTCTAGTGCATACAAACGCACATAAGCAGTGGGCTGAATGCAGAGGTCACTTAGAAATGTATGAATACAGGCATGTTAAGTTTTAAAAATAGCCTAAAAAAATTAGTGAAAACTTCATGCGTATAAAATCTCTCAAACGCAGCCTTTGACGTGCTTCACTTGCAGGTTCTGCATSAGTTCGCCGAGTCCGAATGTCACTACTGCCTCGCAGCCGGTTCTTTCTTCATAAATAGTAAAGTGTTCCTTCAGTGTCGGCTTCTCCTCCAGTCTCAGTATGTCTGGTAGACGTCGTGTATGGGCACCTGGATGGTGGCGGCCGGGAACGCCTGAGGTATGTAGCCGGCGTAGCCGCCGTAGGCGGCCGCCGCCGCCGCCGCCGCCGCGTTCTTCTGTAGTGTGGCTATCGTGGCCGTGGCGGCGGCGGGCGCTGCGAAGGGCACGTAGCTTGTCCCGTAAATGCCAGCAGCGGGGATCCGCGGAACGTTGGGCGCCACGGTGTACACGGGCGTGATGGGGCGGCCCTGGCAAGGAAAGGCGAGACGCTGAGGCGCGAGGCGCTGAGGCGCTGAGGCGCTGAGGCGCCGCCGCCATGTGCCGCGCCCCCAGCGTGAGGCGCCGCCTCACAGTGCTGCCGCCTGCTCGCCCTCACGCCTCCGAGGGAATCCCGCTCTATGGCTCCCACAGCTCTTCCCAGCGGGACAGCGCTGGAGCTGGGGAGACAAAGGGCCTCCTACAAGAGCATCCCTCAGCCCAGACCGGGCTCTGTCTCCATTACAATGAAAACAGGAGATGTCTGAAGAGTGATGCCTTGCAGTGGTTTGTTGCATGATTGCGCAGTGGGTGCACACGTGGCACGCTGGAAGGAGGCCTCCAATCCCATCTTTGGGATGCATATGGCTTTGCAGGACTTAAAATGCCATGCTTGCTGAATGACAGCTTTCCTAGGACAATAAATTGTGAAGGAAAGGCTGAAAGTGTGTGCCCTTTTGTTGGACAAGAGCTTCATCACTTTGGCTGCTCCTCCCTCCCAGGCTGCATCACCCTGCAGGGACAGCAGCTGTGTGACACACAGAGCTGTAAGATACGTCAGATGGGCTGGGCTTTACAAGTGCCACATCCTCTGCTCTGCTCTACAGAACGTTTTGGCTTTGGATACAGAGGAAAGTCTGAATGGAAAGGAAGCTACGCAGACGTAGCTCAGGTACTGGCTCAGCTATCAGATATAACCACTAAGCAGATTCCTGATACTATGTGAGATGAATCTCACTGGGCATCTTGGGAAAAGAGGGAGAAAATAAAGTGTCAGGAGCACGGCCAGACATCAAGCTTGGCACCCGTCTGGCTACGTGTGGCAGGACACAGGCACTGAACCCACCTGGAAGGGAGGAGGCGTTGAGACGGCTGGGATCACAGCTGCGGCGGCGGCGGCCGCGGCGGCTGCCGCGCTGGCTGGGTCCTGCTGGACGGCGATAGGGTTGATGATGTGCTCCACCGTGTGGATTTTGCCATCTTCCATCATCTTGGCTGGCGGGGCGGCCTGAAACATGGAGTACTGGGCCCCGATGGCAGGGATGGCCACTAGGAGAGACCAGATGCACAGAGCTGTGTTGGACGGGCGCCTCCAGGGCCGCAACTCGGCCCACAGCCCTGGCCACTGCTCTAGGCTATAGGCTGTTCTTTGGCCAAGCCTGCAAAAGACCCACTGGTTTTCCGGTTTCCATTTTCCAGGCCTAACTTAGCTAAATGCATCCCATTCAGTCTTTCTGCTGCGGATCAATCTGTTTAATGGCACTAAAAATGAAATTGCTCTTAAGAGGATTTCCTCTCGTGCCAAAATAGGACAACGTGGAATAATTAAAGCTTCCAGATGAAGGGAAAGTGTTCTGGTTGTAACGACTGTGAGTTCAAAGACAGAATTTGTACATGCTCCTAAATGGAGGTTGGTGGCACTGCTGAGGGAAGGAAAGTACTTGCTGAACGTTCCCAATCATCATATTTATAATGCTGTTTTTTTGCTTCATAATGCACATTTTATCTTTCAGTTCACAAGCATTTCAGCAGTAAGATTATTCACAAGGAAAATTGAGTGACCTATATGACTGACTAAGAACTGGTGATGTTCTTAGTCATCTTAGATTTCCCTTAGAGAAGCAGGGGCAGGCAGCTGGTGTATGGGATGATGTCTCAGAAGTTTTCTAACTTTTTGGGGTGAAAACGCATCTCAGAGCTTTCAGGTTATTGTAAGGAGTTGTAAAGACTGCAAAGTCAGAACATCTCAACTCCTCCATTCTGGTAAAGTGATTGCAGAATAATATCCTTTTAATAGGAGAAGTAAGGCTGGCAGGTAATACTATTACTAGCTCTGCTGATCTGCTTGGGAAAAACAGAACAGTTCTCTGTGTTTGAAGTTGTGCTGAGAGCATAGGAGAGGGGAAGGCCAGATGAAAAGCTCTGAATCTGAAGTGCAGAAACATTTAGAGTTGAACATCAGGCCTTTCTTTGGTAGTCTAATGAATTCCACAGGCCTCATAAATAAAGAGTTAAAATAAAGTGTGCATTTCAAAAATAAGTCTTCAAGCATCCGTGAGTAGCGCTTGGAATTCCTAAAGTATCTACAAAAACGCACAGTAATATTTTTGGGCTATGAGTGGATAGTTTTCTCAGGAAGTCTGAAGATAAAGGCAGAATTACTGCAAATCTGCCTTTGAAAATTGCTCTCATCTTTTCAACAATGTTCCTTTTTCTCTAGCCCTCTCTTTTCATATTATCTCATCCAGCTGGTATGAAGGACTTTGCCCAGCGGTCATTAAGTGCAAGCCTCAGTCTCCACTTCAAGTTGCATAGTCACCAATATGGCACAGTGGTGTCTGTTATGGAGCACGTTCTGATAACCCACTGCAGCTCTGTAGGTGGGATACACCACGTAGGGTTTGCAGTTATCATTACACAGAGATACCAGAGGACTTTGTAGGGGAGCTTGTCCCAGTCACCTGAAAGGACCTTCTTCCTCAGGCTGCTTTTCCAAATAAAAGTCTTTCCAAACAAGATCTTGGGGAATTTCAGGATTTCAGCCAGCATTGCATTAAGCTGGGAAGGGCAAGAGTTAGATGCTGAGGTCTTGCTGGGGAGATGGCAGAGAGAAGCTCGCCTCTCTGGGCAGGTTGGACACAGGCCCCGCAGACATGGGGACTGCTCTGCACTGGGGCACTTTGCAAAAGGTGCTCTGTGTTGGGGGGGACTTTCCCACCCCGGGAAAGCCCCAGGCCCTCTTCCCAAGCCAGCTGCCCCCACGACACGCTGGAGGCGTCGCCCTCCCCGTGGCCCCGGCCGCCCCATCGCACACACTGACCTGCACCGGGCTTAATGGCCACGGGGCTGACRGCGGGTAGCTCCAGGTTGGGCACCAGCTCGTACCCTTTCTCCTGCTGCTTTCCTTTGCCTTCGTGGTACCTGCTGTAGATGCCGCGGCCGGCAGAGTATCCCCCCAGGTAGGAGCCTCTGGGGCCGGGGGCTCGGTTGCCGGCTGCTCCTCGCCCTCTGCCTCTTACACTGCCTGCTTGTAAGGACAACAGGAAAGAGGGTGATGAGTAACGCAGAGCAACAGCAGTGGGGACGGTCTGGAGAGCCTGGCGCTGAAACCTGGGGCATATGCCTAGAAATGGTGCTGATGAAATTAGTTTGATCTGAATTTTACTGATTTGCTCTTGAAAATAGAAGAAATTTGGCCCAAGCACCAAGTACAGCTATGCAAGTTTTGCTCTTGACTTTTCTGACAGTTCATAAATCAACCATTTATTCATAATATTGCAACCTTCATGGGCAGTTTTGTAAGACAGGCTTTGCAGTCGGCAGCTCCCCCGGGCGGTTTCGATGTGGAGGACTTCCAGTTTCTGCTCTCAGCCCTTCTCCAAAGGAGACACGGCCTGTTGATTTATTTTTTCTAGTGTCTTTCATTTTCTCTGTGGTATTATTAGCAACGTGAATATGCCCCATTTTCAGAAATACCACCTCTGTTTGTGCTAGCGACTCCGCGCACATTATGACAGTGCTTTGTGGTATTATTAATGTGCTCTGCAAAGACCTTTGGACTCCCAGTTAACTCATCTGTAGCTCACTGTGCTCCAGACTTATAGCACAGATCTAGAATTGAGCTCAGRCTGAAATTTTTGATCAGCCACTGTTAAAAATATTTCTCTCCTAGGTTTATATTCATGGTAAACTGCCTGCTGTATGGAAACACACATTAAGGTTTTTGGGAAACTCTAATAGCTGTAAGCACAGGATCATTATAATGCCGGTTATAGCTGCTAGGGCTTTTTATGAATCACATATTTATATGAATAACCTATTTTTAATACTTATAATCCATGACTAATTAAATTATACATAACAAGTTATTTTGCACTCTTGTGGCCCTTTCTGCTCATAGTTGTTAATGGTCTTTAAAAGATGCAGCACTTCTACCACTTCAATGCAGAGGGCAAATGGCACCTGGAGAGTTCTCAGCTAAGACTCGCCTAGCTCGTGACCACAGAATCACAGAACAGTTGAGGTTGGAAGGGACCTCTAGAAATCGTCCAGTCCAACCCCCTGCTYCAGCAGGGACACCCAGAGCACGGGGCACAGGGTGGCAACCAGGTGGGTTTGAAGATCTCTAGAGAAGGAGACTCCACAACCTCCCTGGGCAGCCTGTGCCAGGGCTCTGTCACCCTCACAGTGAAGAAGTTCTTGCTCACATGCAGATGGACCCTGTGGATGGCCAGCCCTGGGGTATGGGTTACACAGGACCCACCTTCAGGGGAAGGCAGAGGATCGAGCAGCTTGGAAGGAGGCACCGGAGACTGAAGTCTCTGGACTGAAAGCCTTTGCCCAGACTTACTGCAGCACCTCTAGAAAGCAGATCACGCTCTCTGCCATCCCGTGCTTAGCCCGTTAGCTCATTTTCAATGCCTCCATTACACTGCCTTGGACATTGGCAATTATTACTACAGAAATACAGTCTGCACGGTCATAAATCGAGACTGCTCATAAATATAGAGCAAAAGGAACTATAAAAGAGTGCTTAAGAAAGCAACTCATAGCGGCAGCTGCTGTCGGGCTCAGGCAGGATTTGGGCCACCGCTGCCTGAAATCAAGCGTGCCCATCACATCTCCTCACTGTGCCTACTAACCTTTCACAAAGTAATCTCTGTTGGGACCGATCAGGGCGTTGTAGGGGTAGCCATAGTAGGCCAGCGTGTAGGGGTCGCAGGAGTAAACGTAGTTGGGTTGCTGCGCTACTTCGGGGGTGGCCGCCGCGCCGCCCTTGGCCGCCTTCTGGTAGCGAGTGTATTGCTCCTTGTCCACGGGCTTGGCCAAGGTTACCTCCAGGCAGGAGCCTTCCAGCTCAGCCCCGTTCAGGTTGTTCATGGCGTGAATGGCGTCTTCCCTGGTTGTAAAGTGCACAAAAGCATAGTCACGTATTTTTTTCACCCGCTCCACACAGCCAGGGTTAAACTGCCCAAAGACCTTTTTAATGGTGTCCTCCGTGGTTTCAATCATTAAGTTCCTCACGTAGAGGATTTTAACAGTCTCCATGACGTCTTCATCCACATCTATCTCGGGTTCTGCCCAGTCAACGGCAATTTGGTGTCCCCACAGCTGGATCCTCCCGGGCATGAGTTTCCTCCTGGCCATGGCAGCTGCTCGGTGGCTCTCGTACTCCACGAAGGCGAAGCCCCTGTTCTTCATCTTGTCTGCGGCGCTCGCGTACACGATGACATCCAGCACGCCCTCCGTCACCTTGGCGATCTCTTCCAGGATCTCCTCTCTCTTCTTCATCTTGGGGATGCCTCCGATGAAGAGGCGGCAGTTGTCCACGCTGCAGCAAACGCCCAGCAGCCGCCCGGGGCGGATTTCGTAGTTGTTCAGCTCCCTGACGGCGCGCTTGGCCTCGTGCTTCTGYGTGTACATCACGAAGGCGTAGCCTCGGTTCTTCCCGTCAAAGTCCATCATGAGGCGCATTTCATAGATGCGCCCCACAGACTCGAACACCGGCACGAGCTCGTCCTCGTAGACATCGCGGGGTATTTTGCCCACGAAGACCTCGCAGCCGCGGGGAGGGTGCAGGCCCTCCCAGCCGGGCGGGGGCCCGCCGTACTTGCGCTGCCCGTTCTCCTGGATCATGCTGTAGCCCGTGCGCTCCATGAGCGCCAGCAGCGCCGCCTCGTTGGGCGCGCCCGCCACGCCCTCGGGCACCTTCGTGGTGGCCACGTTGGAGGAATCGTTGCTCATCCTTGCGGTGGAGTCCTCAGCAGTCATGATGCCAAAATCATTCAAAGCCTGGTAGAACCTAGGAGGGCACAGGAGGAGAACACATGTTAGGAGCTGCCACCATGCGTTAGGAGCTACCACCAGGATTGGAGCTGCCCTCTTTTGCCTTCCTGCAGTTGTTCTGCAAGTTCATTTTTAAGCCAGGAATAAGGAAGAGCAGGAGAATGACCTGTACCTACCACCCCAAACATTTTCCTGCAGCAAGGGAGGAACGGGATGAGGCCCGTGGCCATGAGGCCATGATTTAGGGCTATCTCCTGCTGAAGGGGTATGTGGGAGTCCCAAGAGCTGCTGCCACAGGAGGCTGCAGTCACATGAAGGGCTGCCACCAACCATCCCAAATCCCTAGAAGGAGGGGTTGTTTCCTCTTTGATGGCTAGTAAGGAATGGGCATGTGTTTGGGAAAGAGGGAATGCTTTTATGGAGCCTCCTATGTTACARGCCGCTTCCTTTAGGGCAGTTAGCCAGCACAGGCTGCAGAAAGGCAAATTTCCCAAATCTTGTTCTGCGTTCAAGACAGGGCAGGAGATACAGAAGTATGGAATAAGCATTAAAATATTAAATCCTGCAACTGCAAGATAACGCGATCTCTTTCTGAGCACAATTTTTAGAAAAACGGAGACTTTGGCATTCTGAGAGCAGTTAATTCATTGATTTTGAAAGCTGGAAAGGACCATCACACCATTTAATATGAGTGACTGAATATGACATGGATCATTACGTTTTATTGTTATTGGCATATTGAGCCCTATAATATTTACCTGAGTAAATCATATCTTCCAGAAGACATCCAGCCTTGATTTTAAGGCGTCAAGAGCTGTATGTCGTCTCCACTGCTTCCCTTTATGGCTTGTTTGGTAATGACTCTTTCTGACAAACAAGTGGGCCGTGTTCCTCATGAGAATTTGCTTGGCTTCTGCTTCCAGCTGGCATCACTAGATTAAAGAGTCTTTCAGTACCTGCATCTTGGCCTAATGATGATATTTAAGCTGTTCAATCAAGCCACAACTCTGCTTTCTTTTTAATAAACCTTTCAGACTCAGCTCCTGAAGTCTTCGTCCTCAGGATTTTTCCTTTAAAATGGTTTTCAGAGCTCCTCCCAAAGCACTTTTTCTTTCTTTTTTTTTTTTTAACCTTTGCCCCTTTGCCACCTCAGTGATAAAGTCATCCCTCTCTTTTCTCCCCTCTTCTCTCTCTCTATAGCTAGCACCTATTTCTCCACACCTTCTCACTAGCAAATGATCCTCAGTTCTTAGTCTGCTCTAACCCTAATTCCTTTTCAGGGATGCCGCTTGCTGGGCTATGTACACAATCTGTTACACCCAGGTGGGTCTGTTAGTGAAGTAGGCTCATGCTCACCAAAGATGTAGGCTGCTACATCTGATTTTAATAACCCACATGACCTGTGTATCTCCTTAGTGACCTTGGCACCTGAGAATTTTTTGGAGAAAGTCCTGGTGCTGCCCAGAATTGGGATCACTTATATCCAGAAAKGCCTCTGTCCCCACCGCAGACAAATCCCTACAGGGCCTCTTCTGTTTGGGAATGATAAACTAGACCTCTCTGAGCTGACCTCTCTGAAAGAGCCTGATCCTGCAGGTGTGTTTGGATCAGGAGTGTGACACACTGACAACTTTGGGGACAGTGCAGCCAATAAAAAATAAATTAAATATAAAAATAAATAAAATAAATATAAAATAATTACCAAAAATGTAGAGCAGAGGGGAAAGCAGAGAAGGTAGAGGGACAGTAATAGTGATGGTGACACGCAGGATATATCCTTCCTGTAGAAAACGCATTTGCTGTGAACTCAGATCTTTCATGGAAATGCATCAGTTATGGCAACTTTGTTTCAAAATGCTATTTAACAAATATGTTTGTCCTAGATTGAAATGTTCCTGATTTTTAATGTGTCACAGTCAGGCACTTCCATTTTAGATCTGAGAATTATTCTGAATCAATTTATCTAAATTTTATTTATTTAAAAAATCATTTAATAAATAAAGCACAGAAGATTTTCCATTTTTCACTTGACAGTATGTTCTAAAAAATGTGACTTCATCTTTCCTTAAATGAAAGCAAAGCTTCTTAAACCAACACTTTGCAGAATAATAATCACTACCTTTACACTGGCCAACAGCTGGAGAAAGAATGCTTATCTTCCCAGGTTTAGGTAAGCTTAAAAATGACTCATTACCATCACTTTATGTCAACGTGTAAAATAAAGGTCTCTGTTCTGTTATCTGCATGGCTCAGTCGCTGGCCTAGGGCCTTGGAAGCTGCAGATGGGCAGGGGGAGCCAGGAGAGAGGAGAGCCAGGGCAACCCCCTGCTGCCCACCAGAAACGAGCTCTCAGCTCAGTCTGGGCCTATGGTGGCAGGTCAGACACTGCCTCTTTTCCAACATTTTTGCACTGCAGCCCTCCCTGCCTCAGAAAGATGTCTAATGTGGGAAGCTGCACTTTGCGTTGCTGCTTGGTGCTGATGGCCACCACACCGTGTTAGTGAATAAGCCTACAGACCTTGAATTCATGGATTTATAGCATACAAGAGCTACAGAGCCCACAGGGCCTTATTTGGTTCAGCTAAAAGCAGCATTAATATCACTCACGGCCACCTGGCAATCAGCACCTTCGCAGGGCTCAGCTCTCATCTACCCGCATGGCAGAAACCACCAGCGCGTCGGGTCCGAGAGCCGCTCTCCTCCTGCGGCCACTGCCTTGCAAGCCGGGCGGCCAGAACAACTTCAGCCACCCATGCTGAAAAACAACCACTCTCAAGAAAATTGTTTTCAAAATAACCTTATTTTTTCCCTTTTGAAGTGCTCTGCAGTAGCTGGGCATTTTGTTAGTCCATAGTAAACTGGCCATGGAAGCTTGAGACCAGATGTTTAGCTGCACACAAGGCATGAGATAACACCCTGAGTTCAGTCGTCTTGGTAAAGCAAGACTGGTTTGCCTATATGCATGAAGTGGGATTAATGCTAAGAGAAGAAGCAAAAGTTTAAGTCATATTAAAATGTGCAGTCTTAYGAAATATAAGAGCTTGATTTCTAGTCTCTGAAGAAGAAGGTGCACCCAATCTCAAAGACAAAGACTCCTAAAAGAGAGGCAGGCAAAAGTGTTAATTCCTAGTCAGAATGGCTGTGCTTTGGGGACAATTAAGTTTCAAAGACATGTTTTTAACGTTAAAGCTGTAGTTATTAGATCTATTGATCTACTSTACGTCATGTATGAAATGCTGAGAACTTGTTAAAACAACAACAAAAAAAGCAGTGCAGATATTGAAGCCCACACAGTCAGAACAAACTACAGCATAATTTAAGAAATAATACCCCAAAATACCTGCCCCATCTTGAAACARCAGTGAGTGAATTTGTCCCGGCAGCATCCCGCTGAGTTGGACGGCTTTGATCCCATTCTGTAGGACATGGAAGTGAGGCAGGAAAGCTGCACATGGCATCCCCTGGGAAAACCGTGGCTGCTGCCATCAGATCCCTGTTGAGCTGCTCTGCTCCTGCATGCCCAAAGCCACCTCTAAAAATGCGCTATCCACAAGCCTTTTCCCCATCATTCCCACCTTCTTCCTCAATTAAAACTTAGTGAATTAGTGCAAAGCAAACAAACATCTGGGCCTGGTTTCAAGTCCTTCTGGGGGCTCAGAAGTGTCTGTATTTCTGCAGGGATGTCCATGCCGCTGAACAGGCACCAGCACTGGGGATGGCCGGGCGCCTGGGCTGCTCCCTGTGGCTCCCAGGCCCCCTCTGAYGGATAACTGGCACATCTGTGTGAGTCCTGGGGCACCCAACAGTGTCCGGATATTATCCGTGGCAGGACACTGAGGTGGAGGAGCTTTGTGGCAGGGTTTCTCTTTCGGAAGTAAGAGATGTGGGGCTGGGTGATGTCCACGAGAGGCAGAGCGCTGGGATGAACAAACGACTGAAAGGAAAAGTTCACAGGAGAAGAGCGGGAGGTCATGGGGTGTGTGTACACAAGCACGTGTGTGGCTTGGGCTGCAGGAGGAGAGCAAAGGCTCCCACCATTTGCGTTGTCCATACCGTGAATCCTCGGAAACACCCAATAATCCCCTTGTTTGAATTAATTTATTTTCCATTCTCTGCCCTGTCTCCCGCAAACGCTGGTGTGYGAGGTGCACGTGCTTGCTGCTGGAGAGGCCCTGTCTGCCACCTCCCTCTGTGCAGCTCCCAGGGGAGGAATGAGCCGTGCAGGCGCTCACCCTGCACCCTGCTGAAACCCCTGCTGAAACGTCCACGTTGCTTCGTGGTACTGCCAGCACTAATTCAGGGCAATAAAATACAAACTGGGAACACTTAGATCTCCATCATGGAGATCTCCCATGCCTGGCAAAGACTTTTCCCCGATGATGCCTTTTGCAGCTTCTATTTGTCTGACCTTGAACCTCTTCTTATRGAAAACTTCATTAGTGAGACTGACCTGAATCTTTGTGTCCAGGTAGTTGAAACAAATACTCCTGATTTATCTTGGAACATGGCTAGCTTCTTGTTTTTTCCAAATAATAAAAAGTTGTAAAGTCTATACATTCTTTCTCACATGGAATAGATTCTCTAAAATCACCTCTAAAAGCAGGACTCGGGACCCTTTCAGTTCAGCTCCTCTCCTCTCCCTTACTCGCAGGTGAGCTTTCTGCTGYGCGTGTTTCAGTGCAACTGTTCACATTTCACTTCCTCTTCCTTATGAAACATTAATTCTCTCATTTTAATCTTTTTTTTTTCTTTTTTACATGACAGTGCAGAATGGGAAATTGCCTGTGACTGACCTGAGGCACTGCAGTGAATAAGCCAGCTAATAGAGGCAGATCCTGTATTAAATACAGTGCCCTGACCAGCAAAAACTTTTGCCCAAGGCAACTGGGCAGGGCAGATTTGGATGCCCCTTGCAGGGGCCAAGAGGGAGGCACAGGGGCAAGGAAAGCACAAGGAGGGAAACTTCTACAGCTCAAATCCATGAAGTGGGCACGAAAGAAAGGCCTATGCTGAGGAGACTGGGCAAGGAGAGGACTAAAGGGAAGCAAAAAGTTCTCTTCAACACTGTTGTTTTTCTGCAGACTATTTGGGACACCRTTTTAGGCTGCATGGACAAACTCCAGGTGAGATTACACCACATTCCTCCATGAAAATACATGGAAGTGCCCCTGCTTTGCCTTGTAAGCCACAACTACTCCTGCCATTACAGAGGCAAGGTCACCAGCAGCATTTTAACTAAAGGCACTCTGTTGACAGAGTCAAATACCAGCTACTGCTTTAAACGTGACCTTTCTACTTTCGTTGGTTAAAAGGGTAAGGGCAAACAGTAACCCTGCTCCCGACGCTCGGCGGCAGCCCTGAAAGTACTGCCACAGCTAAAGCTCTTTATTCTTAATGCTAGCTTTAGATAAAATACCTAGAACAAAAACATCAGCAACAGGTAGCTGTGTAACTTTACCATCAGGTGTCTGCACAAATGCTCCTTTTTTATTTTTTTCTGGAAACACAGTTTGGCTGCTTACAGATTTCTCAAGTGCACAGCAACATGAAAGGGACCTGTCAGTGGAAATTAATGCTGACAGCCTCGCACTCCTATGGAGCCAGCCACGGCAGGGAGCCTGTGTTCAAGGTGCTCCTTCCTAAAGCAGTGGTGAAACATGAAGTCCCAGCCCTTTTAGCGACCCAAAACACATGGCATAGCAAGAGGGGCTGCAGGTGCTCCCGCCTGCTCCGGTGCTTCCAGCTCCCTCCTGCTCCGGTGCTTCCAGCTTTGCCCTCTGGCTGCAGGCGGCCTGGGGACATCATCCTCCTGCAGGCAGGTTCC